CATTTTTAGTATTTGCAGCCTTTATACAATATAAAGCACATTAATTAGCCTACAAAACACTGGAAAAACTGAATGTGACAAAAAAGGCTGGCGAGAAAAATGAACATGGCAAAATGATCATACAAACTCTCCTATTTCTGGGATAAACTGTCTCTTTTGGGAATTACTGTAAATGTCAAAGGCAACTTTCTCAAAATAAGCAATATTCTCCCCCATGCCAATATCATTATTTTTGTGGTTGGCATTTTCATTGGCAAGCTATGTGAGAAATGTGAGTTACTATAATGGAGTCAAATGGTATAACTTTCACATGATTCAGTTAAACATGATGAATGTAAATAAAGAAAAAATTGTATATGGAAATTCTGTGTTTATCCAGAAAAAGAGCTTCATTAAACATTACTGTATACAACTTTATTCAATTCATCACAAAATTAATTCATATTACTTGGAATATTAGAACGTAAAATCATCTTTCTTTGAAATCTTGTCTAGTTTTGATTATGTCATTATGATATAATGAATGCTCTCTAGAAATTTAGGATAATCTATGTTTTCAAAGTTAGTTAATTATCCCTCTTTTTTGAACAGTTTACGAGACAATTTTAGCACTTCTATACAGAATTCCCAAGATATATTAGCTTTCATAATCTTACTTAAATAGCCTATTAACAAATAGAAAAGGACATTGTAACATTAAGAGGACAGAATGGAAGCCTTAAAACATATAGTATAATGTCTTCTTTTTGTTGAGAGTCATTATTCACAATTATAGTTAGCACAAGATGTTTTGCTGGAAACCTATATACTGCGAATTCACTTATATTCGTGGGCATGAAATTTCGTGGTTTTATCAAAACGAGCATTTTCGTGGGTTCTTAAATTCGTGGATTTCATTTTCTTGCAAAAAAAAAAAAAGAGAGTAATCTAATGCAAAGTAATCTTAAACTTAATCGCCGAACATTTTTACTTACAGCATGTACATATCTTTACGTGTCAATGAATTCAATCCTTGCCTCTGGGCATAACTCTAATATAGCACAGTTACTGCCGATAATTGGCTGCAATTAACACATTTATGTGACATGATATGCACCTCCATTAGACACACTGACCCTGTAATTCGCCGATGTAAACATCGCATAATTTATACGACACCTGGCGAGTTAGAAAAATTTACACACTGAATTGGTCCTACCATATTTGACAGTAACTACACGCAACGTCACAGCGACTGTGTAAATTTACATGCATATAAATTAATCTGAGTAAATAACACGAGTATGTTTGGATCTATAAAAAGTTGGTGGCGTCTTTGATGTTTACGGAATAGCATTTGCACAAATACAGATTAAAATTCATTTAAATTGGATCATTTAACAAGAGGGCCATGATGCCCTGAGGTCGCTCACCTGTATATAGGCCCCCAACCCCCCCCCCCCCCAACATTGCAGGGCCAATTTACCCAAGGGCTTTTATTTGCACAAACTCGGTAGACACCCATAAGAAGATGTTTCATGCTAAACATCTAAGCTCTAGCTCATTGGGCTTTATTGAAAGAAGATTTTTTAAAGTTTTTACTATACACATATAGTTAAAAACAATGACACCCTGGGGCCGGGCCAGTTTTGACCCAGGGCTTTTATTTGAACAAACTTTGTAGACACTTACTAGAAGATGTTTCATGCTTAATATCTAAACTCTAGCTATTTGGGTTTTCTCAAAGAAGATTTTTAAGTTTTTGCTATACACATATAAAGAAAATCAATGACCCCCGGGGCGGGGCCAATTTTGACCCCAGGTCTTTTATTTGAACAAACTTGGTAGACACTTATTAGAACATGTTTCATGCTAAATATCTTAGCTTTAACTCTTTTGGTTCTTTAAAAGAAGATTTTTTAAGTTTTTACTATATGCATATAGGGAAAATCAATGACCCCCTGGGGCGGGGCCAATTTTGACCCCAGGGCTTTTATTTGAACAAACTTGGTAGACACCTATTAGAACATGTTTGATGCTAAATATCTTAGCCATAGATCTTTGAGTTCTTTAAAAGAAGATTTTTTTAAGTTTTTACTATATGCATATAAGGAAAATCAATGATCCCCCGGGGCGGGGCCAATTTTGACCCCAGGGCTTTCATTTGAACAAACTTGGTAGACACTTATTAGAACATGTTTCATGCTAAATATCTTAGCTTTAACTCTTTTGGTTCTTTAAAAGAATATTTTTTAAGTTTTTACTATATGCATATAGGGAAAATCAATGACCCCCTGGGGTGGGGCCAATTTTGACCCAAGAGCTTTTATTTGAACAAACTTGGTAGACACCTATTAGAACATGTTTGATGCTCAATATCTTAGCCATAGCTCTTTGAGTTCTTTAAAAGAAGATTTTTTAAGTTTTTACTACATGCATATAGGGAAAATCAATGACCCCCCGGGGCGGGGCCAATTTTGACCCCAGGGCTTTTATTTGAACAAACTTGGTAGACACCCATTAGAACATGTTTCATGCTAAATATCTTAGCTCTAGCTCTTTTGGTTCTTTAAAAGAAGATTTCTTAAGTTTTTACTATATGCATATAGGGAAAATCAATGACCCCCCGGGGCGGGGCCAATTTTGACCCCAGGGCTTTTATTTGAACAAACTTGGTAGACACTTATTAGAACATGTTTCATGCTAAATATCTTAGCTTTAACTCTTTTGGTTCTTTAAAAGAAGATTTTTTAAGTTTTTACTATATGCATATAGGGAAAATCAATGACCCCCTTGGCGGGCCAATTTTGACCCCAGGGCTTTTATTTGAACAAACTTGGTAGACACCTATTAGAGCATGTTTGCTGCTAAATATCTGAGCCATAGCTCTTTGAGTTCTTTAAAAGAAGATTTTTTAAGCTTTTACTATATGCATATAGGGAAAATCAATGACCCCCCGGGTGGGGCCAATTTTGACCCCAGGGCTTTTATTTGAACAAACTTGGAAGACACCCATTAGAACATGTTTCATGCTAAATATCTTAGCTGTAGCTCTTTTGTTTCTTTAAAGAAGATTTTTTAAGTTTTTACTATATGTATATAGGGAAAATCAATGACCCCCCGGGGCGGGGCCAATTTTGACCCTAGGGCTTTTATTTGAACAAACTTGGTAGACACTCACTAGAAGATGTTTCATGCCAAATATCTTAGCTCTAGCTCTTATGGTTTTTTAAAGAAGATATTTAAAGTTTTTTCTTTCGGTATCTTTAAAGTTTTTTCTTTCGGTTGCCATGGCAACCAGAGTTCTGCATGGAATTAAATTCTTTGAACAATTTTTAAAGGTGACTACCAAAGGAACATTCCTGTGAAGTTTGGATGAAATTGGCTTAGTGGTTTATGAGGAGATGTCATTTAAAGTAAAAGTTTACGGACGGACGGACGGACGGACGGACGACGGACGGACGCCGGACGAAAAGCGATCACAAAAGCTCACCCTGTCACTTTGTGACAGGTGAGCTAAAAACGACAAAAGAATGTACAATTCATCTGTTTTAGCGATTGTATTTTTTATAGTTTTGTGTACTTACGACATTAATATCAAATACATCTTTTTAATTAATAAGAGCAAACTGACATTTTTTATTAGCGCTAATTATTGGATTGCCAGGGTTCCCATATTTACACGATTATGTCAAGTATTCTTGTTAACACAATCAACAATGATCAAGTTTGTATATGCGACCGACATTTGTGACATTAAATTGAGGACATATAATTGAGTTTTCTTTCAAGTTTCTTATGCAAACGGATTTAATCAGTGTAACTAACGTGATAGTTTGTACTGTATGTATATAGGCCTACATACATTTCACGAAAATCGGCCGGAAAAGAGCCGACTCATGTTTGTTATATATAGAACAGAGACGGTATTTGTTGGGATAAAATTTCGTCGGATCTTAAATTCGTGGATTGACCTACCCACAAAAACCACGAAAATTCGTGCCCCACGAATAATAATGATTTTACAGTATATGTATCCTAGAAAAATACTTATTTTCTGATGAATCAACACACTTGAAAGTAATCACACAATAAGGTTGTCCAGTTCATTTAACTAACAAGAGGCAATGCAGAACATCCCAGGGGCCACACTCCACTTTTTCATATTTCCAAAGGCAAACACATCAGAGAAAGAACATTGTAGTGAATGATTTTGAAAGAAAACATCTTTTTTTCACAGACTTAAATCAAAATTTTATGTATGACCTTGACGGCCAATATCATGTACAGATCAAAATCACAGATGGCAGTATCAGTGTTTGGCAACAAAATACAAACCCATCGTGAAAAAAAAACAAAAAAAAAACTATCAAAACTTATTATTATTGTTATAGAAAGGTGAAAAGTCAGCTACTATAAGCTCATTTGCCAAACAATATGGAACATGGGATATTGTGGTTTCAGGGACTCAGGCGCATTCTGACCGCATATTGCTGCATCATTCATAATAACTTCAATAAAAAGAACTAGAATTCCACAGTTTACCTAATTCAAGTCCAACGAATATCAATAATCTATCAATTTGTTTCAGTTTAACGGTATTTTTAATTTGTTGCAGCCATCTTGAAGTCTGACACATGTGTTGTAACGCACGATCTGATTGGACGATAGACCTTAGGCACCAAAAATTGAATCCGTTTGACCAATCAGATCGCTTGTTACAGATGTTTTCAATTGTGTAGTTGAAATGTTGGATGTTATAAAAGGCAGGTTACTTGGAGGTAAATTATCACCACTTTGTGCTTCAAAATTAACTCTTTAAGGGCATGACTGGTGACATGTCCGGGGTCCGTACTCGACAGCAAAAGCTGCATTTTGTGCCCGAAAGGGCGGATGGACCCTCATTAAGCATTAAAGAAGAAAGAAGAAAAAATATATTAACAAAAAATTTGGCTAACAAACTGTTCATCTTAAATTAAAAAAATAAACAATTTCAATAACAATAATAATAAAGAACTTACCACCACATATCTGTTGTGTTTTGTCTCTATCAAATTTCATACATATTCTTTAACAAATTTCTGTTCGGCATGATCTCTTGACTGTTTCTTCAATCTGTCAAGCCTAAAATAAACACCCTCAGATGATAAAAACATTGATTAATATATCACAAAACAAGTAACTATCCCATAGCAAAAACCCGACAAACTATCCTAAACATGTGTCAATCAAGTAACAAGTCAATGCTGAGGTCTACATATTTTTACACATTCTATTAATTAAACAAGTCATTCATGTGCCTGACAAACATAACTTTGTTAACAAGTGCTCATGTAAATCACCCTTCTTTCCTTTCAAGAACATAATCATTTTTATGTTATTTTATGTTTAAGATCTATTTACATCTATGTTTTTATGTTGGACATAATAAATTCCTTTTCATCCACACCTGGGAGACATTCAACAGAACATCAACTTCATAAGCCTATATACTATGTCAAATATGTAAGCAATACCCATATCTTATCACTTCTCATTTCAGTATATTTCATAATATAAACAAAATGTTAGAATGTTACATAAAGTATTGAATAATATTTATAAACTAACAAAAATTGACTTATAATGTTGCCACCAATAAACAAAGTAATTATAATCATTTATGGGGACAAATGGTTCTCTTGTAGTTTTCACATTTAGTGTCACTATGAACATGAACTCAACAAAATCAGTGACCTTAACCAGCCCTATAACGCACATAATATGTAAATTATTACTTTAATCTTTTAACTGTTCTTGAAATCTTAGTACATTTTTCTCAAGCTTTATTTCCTTGAAATATTCTGACTTATCTGGCATGCAGCTTTAATAATACAGTTAAACTTCGTTCGCTCGAACTCGGATCGCTCGAATACTTCCCTTCGCTCGAACTCATCGCCCAGTCCCGGCAAAATTCTTATATAATATATATTGTTCTACCTCGGATCGCTCGAACACCGATCGCTCGAACTCTCGAACCTGATCTCTGGTCCCTTCGGCAGAAATATAGTGAAAATCACACCTTTTCGGTCGAACACAAAAAGACAAGTCGGTATGTCCTAAAAAAATGACAGTCGGCGACACATGTTTTTAACACCTCGTGATCGTAACAAAGGTAATTAAGGTTAATTGATACAAAAATAAGAGGTGTTGTAACCGATTTATTTGTTATGATAATATTGTTGATTTGCCGTTTATGGTAACGATAAAAAGAAAATAACTTGTTAAATAAGTGAAATATGCATGCCAATAAAAAATGACGTTTACCCGGACGACTTCAATTACAGCCGTTACATAAGTTCATGTAAAGTGAATCGTAACAGTGTTATCTATTTAATGACAGTTGTATGTGTGTTTATTTCAGTAAATGGCTACAAGTAAATGCTGCTGTAAATGTTTTTAATAAATATTTCATTCATTTCATCCCATTATAAACATAACTAGAAATGTGTCATCATGCCACGGATGCCCCCGCATGCAGCCAAAATTTCAGATGTTATAATATTTAGTTCCAAATTTGTTTGCACAAATTATTGTTTTCATTTTAAGTTCAAAGCCCTTAAAACTTTTCAATGTTAACACAAACCATTTCCATACAATGTTCAAGGCACTGAAATTATTCAGTCTTAACCTTTTGAAAATAGCATATTTCATATTTGTAGCCAAAATAATGGCTACATATATTTCCACAAAAGTATGAGTGCTGAAACTGAAAGTTCAAAATTTTTCCAATATTCAAGAAAGATAAGTTTGTCGAAAATCATTGAACCACAACCAAATTCAAACTTAAACTGCTTATTCCTAAGATGTATCTATATTATTTTCAGTGAAAGGGACATAACTCTGCCAAAAAAATCATCGAACCATGACCAAATTCCAACTTGACCTGCCCATTCCTTTGACATATTCATATGTCAAATTTGAGTTGAATATGTAACACTGTTGGGTAGATAATGAACAGAAACTGTAAATTTCATATTAATTTCAAAGTGAAAGGGGCATTACTCTGCCAAAAATCATTGAACAATGAACAAATTAGAACTGGGCCTGGGCATTCTAAAAACATATCCATATGTCAAATTTGAGTTGAATGTGTTGTACTGTTGAGGATATAATAAACAGAAACTGAAAATTTCATATTATTTTCAAAGTAAAAGGAGCATAACTCTGCCAAAAATCATCGAACCATGACCAAATTCAAACTTAACCTGTATTTTCTCATGACATATCCATATGTCAAATTTGAGTTGAAAATGTTGTACCGTTGGGGAGATAATGAACGGAAACTGAAAATTTCATATTATTTTTAAGTAAAAGGGGCATTACTCTGCCAAAAATCATCGAACCATGACAAAATTCGAACTTGACCTGTATTTTCTCATGACATATCCATATGTCAAATTTGAGTTGAATGTGTTGTACTGTTGTGGAGATAATGAAAGGAAACTCAAAATTTCATATAATTTTCAAAGTAAAAGGGGCATAACTCTGCCAAAAATCATCGAACCATGACCAAATTCGAACTTGACCTGTATTTTCTCATGACATATCAATATGTCAAATTTGAGTTGAATATTTTGTTACCGTTGGGGAGATAATGAACGGAAACTGAAAATTTCATATTATTTTCAAAGTAAAAGGGGCATAACTCTACCAAAAATCATCGAACCATGACCAAATTCGAACTTGACCTGTATTGTTTCATGACATATCCATGTGTCAAATTTGAGTTGAATGTGTTGTACGGTTGGGGAGATAATGAACGGAACTGAAAATTTATTTTATTTTCAAAGTAAAAGGGGCATAACTCTGCCAAAAATCATCGAACCATGACCAAACTCGAACTTGACCTGTATTTTCTCATGACATATCCATATGTCAAATTTGAGTTGAATATGTGCAACCGTTACTAAGATAATGAACGGAAACTGATGATGACGGAATGACAGAATGACGGAATGACGGAAGGACGGAACAGGGTAACACTATATGCCCCAGCCATTACATGGCGGGGGCATAAAAATATATTTTGAACATTGTTCAACAAGTTTGGTTTGATTGCCCAATCGAACTCAACCAGTTACAATATGCATGAATATAGATTAACACAGCGTACCGTTAATACTTAATTACAACACTGGGATAATAATTCTGAATATGAAATATTCGACGAACAGATGTACTAACAAACAATTATATTGTCGCATTTATCATTCGACCGTTGTAAGCTAGGAAACCCTTTAGGCATATGATCAACGTAATAAATAGTTCAACCTCGGTTGGCTCGAACTACCGATCTCTCGAACAAATTTACACAGGCCCTCCGAGTTCGAGCGAACGAAGTTCGACTGTATATCGTTTTTTGTAGAAGTGGTTTCAGTCAGTCACTGTGAGTTTGACCTTCAAGCATTTAAGTGCCAGGAAACAATTTCAATAAGTTTTATTATCTATTTAGTGAAAAACCTCAAGATAATTAATAAATCTTCTATCCTACGATGTACTTCTTGAGAAAGGTTAAGCTAGTACAACATGTTAATATATATAACTCATTAAAGCTGTAAGTCAAACATGTTCTAGTATTATTATTATAGAAAAACATCTTTACATCAAGGTGTGCCCACAGTGTGAGATTAAATCAAAACACTCCTGGTGTATCTGGAAATGAGGAATTCAAATTTTATTTTTGGATTTAATAAATTTAATTCTTTCACTGCGGTTGTCTACCCACAAATATTATAGCATGTTTATTAAAGTTCATTCATAATCTCAAAAAGTAATTGGTGGGAAAATATTTTTGAACAGTCATATACATTTGTTTATATATATACAAACTGGTACAGTATAGTACTCAAAATTTTAAAATGTTAAATATATGACTTATTCTGAACTATCGCTGAAACCTCTTGAGTTTATGTGATGAATTTACCAAGCTGTCAATTCAAAGTGTAAGGGGACCTCACTCAGGCCAGACTTTTATAGTTTCTACAGGTTGAAGGTTTTTAAAACATGACATACCTTCATAATTTCACCATTTCATATTGATAATGTTGCTGTTTAAAGCATATTCTTGCACAGTGATTTCATTATTTTTCTATTTTGAGGAGCTTGTCACCGAGTTCAAAGTCATGGAGTCATTAACTGGCTTGATGACATATGTAACAAATGTTTCTGAACACTTAAATCATAACTTAAGCTATTTCAGCTTAGTTATTGCCAACAGGTCCACATGAATAACAGCTGTATGTGACATATTGTTGTCAACCAAATTATGATGGAAAAACACTAGCCTTGACTTCTAGGTCTGTAATCCTAATATTCTTCCTACACAATAATAAATCAGGAGTGCCTAATGTTTAAAATATTTTTTATACTGATTTATTAAAATCAAGTAGCCAATAGAATTGTTACAATCCTAGTGTAGTTGTATAGTCTGGCCCTGCTGTATGCTGACACCAAACACAAGTGTCTTGTTTTGTTCATGTCATTTCCATTGTTTGACCTTGCTGAGTTCTGATAGTCAAAACAAGTCATTCTAAATATCTGATAGCAAAAGCATTTCATCCCTGTGGTTTTGCCTTGTTCTGGCTTGATAGCAAGTCAGTAACTTTGGCCTTTTCCTGTTCTGACAGCAGTCAGTCATTCACAAACTTTGGCCTTTTCCTGTTCTGATAGCAAAGTTGGTCATTTACAAACTTTGGCCTTTTCCTGTTCTGATAGCAGTCAGTCATTCACAAACTTTGGCTCTTCCTGTTCTGACAGCAGTCAGTCATTCACAAACTTTGGCCTTTTCCTGTTCTGATAGCAGTCAGTCATTCACAAACTTTGGCCTTTTCCTGTTCTGACAGCAATCAGTCATTCACAAACTGGCCTTTTCCTGTTCTGACAGCAATCAGTCATTCACAAACTTTGGCATTTTCCTGTTCTGACAGCAATCAGTCATTCACAAACTTTGGCCTTTTCCTGTTCTGATAGCAAATGCAACATACTCTCATAGTTTGATCTTCTTTCATCCAAATAGTTTAGTTTCTATATATTGTGACACTTTTTTTGGCCAGGCTCTGTTCAGTGATATCAAAGGCAACTATTTCCCATAACTTGGTATTGCTTGTTAATAAGTTATAAAATATATGTCCAGTTTAATTGACCTTACTATGGTCTGATAGCAAAAATCTGTCATTCCTATCTCTTGCCCTCATGTTCTATTTCGGTAGCTAAGGGATATAATGTCTTTGATAACATTCAGACATGTATGCTTAATTAGAAAATGCAACTGTTAACTCCTTTCATCAAATATTAGCAAAATGATAAAAAATACTCACTAACATTTAAACTTTTCTACATATCTAGAAATCTAGAATATTCTGTGATTACAAAAAAACAATAATTTGACATACCCCAGTTATATCTATTCACAGAGGCAACATATTGTGAAACCGTGCTTGATAGAAAGGTGTATAAGAATAAGGATGTCATGTTTTAAACATTAGTTTAATTATATCTAGATACCATCAAAATAGCTTAATTCACTTAGCATGCTTCTATAGTCAGAATACACAGGTTCCCAGCATTAATTCCTCGTCTTACAACATTGATTAGCATTTCATGATCAGAGTATTACCTCCTTCATGCATGCTTCAACCATATACACTCACTAATCTTATATCCTATAAAATGTGCAATAGTTTAAACTATAAATTAGAAAATAAAAATTCTGTGATTTGAAGACCATTTAATCTTGATACTCAGGTTCATCATGATTTTATTGTTAGTATGACAATTAATTGAGATTTAATGGTATTATTATTATTAATATGTTTAAAGAACAAATGTTTTATTTATGCATTTAATAACAATTCTATATCTTGATTTATGTAAATATTGTACTTTTATAGAACAATTCATTGATTTTTAAATGTTTAAAAGATATTAAAAAATAACAGCTTGAATTTTTAAGTTTAAATGACATTTTTTAGTAATTGCCTTGATTTAAGGTTTAAATAACAACTTACTGATGGTTTACAAGTGTCAAATATTACACAAATACAAGCATAAGGATATAAATCATGTTTCCTGCAATTTGTTTTTCCTATTTATAAGCCACAATATTGTATGCATGCAGTTATTATCATGACATAAATCAGAGAAAAAAAAATTATCATAAAATATATTTTATAAATACCTTGTTTATTAGGTTCCGATCCAGTACAGTATATATAAATGAATGAGTGTTAGTGAAAGCTTATACCATGATGAAATAGAGACAGTGTATTGTATATTGTAGTGTTACATACTAACATAGTTAAGTAGTGTTAACATTAACAAGGGTTTCACTATTTACCGACCCATCCCTCCTTGGATTACATCAAGATTGCTTGTTATAACCAAACCTTCCAGTCTATATAACACAACCTAGGGTGCAGTAAATCTATAAAAACACTTAATGTAAATAACAGCCATTGAAGTCCACTCTTGCCATCAAATTACACAGTATTTTATGACAATAGCTCCTGGACTGAAGTTTATATAGTAAACTTCCTGACACTGAACAACAAGTTAATATAGCATTGACTTCCTCACTGAACAACAAGTGTTTGATTATTCTTTTCTTGAAAAGTTGAATTTATATTTTATTGTCTTAAATACAACAGAAAACATTTTGAGATTTAATTTGATAAAAAATGACACTAAATAAACTACTATTAGATATGACTTATAATGCCCTAATTTTAACTCTTAGCTAATTACCTTATAATTAGCATATTATTTGAAGATTTTTTTCTTTTGTAAATGATTCCTCAATCACATAGATATGAAATATGAAGGTTAAAGCTAGTTTAATGAAATACAGGGGTGTGTCAGTTCAAAGGGTCCTTCAAAATCATCATTATAAAAGAGGTTTCTCATTATTTTCAAAATGATTAAAAGGAAAAAGCATTTATTTATGTTATCTGTAAATGAACACATCTAAATCTTCTAATGTTACACTCATCACGGTATAATAACTCAATTTAAGTTTCTTTGAAAGAGCAGGAAACAATTAGCAGACTTAGTTTGATTATGTCTAAGTAAAGCACTTGCTATAAGTTGGTCTTGTTCATTACAAAGGACATGGCTTATCAGCTAAGCTTTAAACCATTTATAAGAGGAGACAATCCATAAGAAGAAAGTTATCAACCCAATTAAATAAAGTCTTTGTTGTTCTCTCATCAAAATTTACCTGACATTCTATCACCTGCTCATCTTCTCTTATAACAGATTGGGACATTTTCACAAAAATAATAAACAAGAGGGCCATGATGGCCCTAATATCGCTCACCTGACTATAAATTCTATTAATGACAAGGAACAAGTAATATTGTTAACTATAAATGAAAAGCATATATACTAGTATAATTTAGTATTTGCTATGGAAGTCAGTGGTTGCTATGTAAAATTTAGTCAATATTTGTTATGGAAGTCACTCGTTGCTATGGAAATTTACAGTTTGTTATGTAATGTCACTGGTTGTTATGGAAAGTAAACAGTTGCTATGGGAGTCAACAGTTGCTTAGGAAAGTCAATGGTTGCTATGGAAGTATATGGTTGCTAAGGAAAGTCAATGGTTGCTATAGAAAGTAAATGGTTGCTATAGAAGCCACTAGTTACTATGGAAAGTCACTGGTTACTATGGAAAGTTATTGGTTGCCAAAGAAGTATATGGTTGCTATGGAAGTCAATGGTTGCTATTAAAAGTCACCGGTAGTTATGGAAAGGCACTAGTTGCTATAAAAATTCAGGGCTGCTATGAAAAGTCAATGGTTGCTATGTGAGTCAATGGTTACAATTGAAATCACTAGTTGGTATGAGAAGTCACTGGTTGATAGAGGTAGAGAAGAAATTTTTTTATAGAATTTATTATACAAACATATAAGGAAAATCTATGTTTTCTCTGGAGGAAATTTTTGCCCAAGGGCTATAATTTGTAAAATTTATGTTGAGGTCCACCAGGCAATGTTTCATGCTACCATATAGCCCTTGCAGTTTTCAAGAAGAAAATTTTTGAAGTATTTACTATATATGGGAAAGCACATTGATCCCCCAAATCCTGGCCAATTTTGACCCAATAGCTGTAATTTGAAAAAACTTGGTACAGTTTAAAGGTCATTTTAATTTTTGCTCAGACAGCCATTTTGGTTAGAAAACCTGAATTTTAGTCAAGGATCACCTCAGGATTATTCCTGTAAAGTTTCATTAAAATCTAAAATGCTACAGACAAGAAGATGTCATTTAAAGCTTATTTCTATTTTTAGCTTTGGTGGCCGTGTTGTTCAACAGACCAGAACCATTTGAGCACTTCGAAAAGGACTACCTCTAATGATCATAACTGTATAGTTGCATCTACTTTTTAAAGGATTCTATTTTTAGCTCTGGTGGCCATCTTGTTCAGCTGACCCAAAGTATTAAGGACCATTTAATTAAGGATCATTTCTGTAACTATAGTTTTATCAAGCTACTATAGAAGAATGTCATTTAAAGCTAATTTCTATTTTTACCTCTGGCAGCCATTTTGTTCAACAGACTGGAAGCAGCTTTTGTAAAGAACTTTTTAAAAATCATTAGTGTCTATTAGTGTCATCAAAATGTAAGTAGTTGAGGGGCAGATGTATTTCAAGGTTTTTATATTGTTAGCCCTGGCAGCCATCCTGTTCAGTGGACTGGAACCATTAAAGCAATTTCTTAATAGAGGACTACCCAATAGTTTCATCACTTATAACTGGCCAAGTGGTTAAAGAGGAGATGTTTAATTAAAAATGTTAAGGACAGGCATTGCAGTATCTCAATAGACCTTGAGCACTTTTAAGTCTAGTGAGCTAAAGACAAAATTCCCTTGTACTTACTAATACATTGGAGCATAGAAATTCCACTTCATAGATAACTTTTCAGTTTACATGCCCTGAAACAGAACATATGATAGCAATAAGGACATTGCTCCTACTTAATCTTATTAAAAAGATCCTAATAATAGATAAATAATCTGTCTACATAATGCTAAACTTAGGTAATGGATTTGCCATCATTCTAAATCAGGAATAATCTATTTAAAGAGGATTGCAATATCAAAATATACAGGTTAAGCTACCAACACTATACAGCTAGGTCAGACACTGAGGTGCAGGATGGCCTGGTTCTATATTGATGACAAAGGTTTATCATTTTTCCTCCATAAGGTTAAGGCTAAATTAAAACACATATTAAACACTAACAGAGATAATTTATATGTATATATCATTATGTTTTTACATATTATTCTTGTACTGGCACTTTCTCTCATTTATATATATATTAGTTTGATTCATCATTGTTTTGTGGATAATAGAGCATTATAGTTAGTTATAAATCTATGACAATGGCATACCAAGATGACCTCTCTATGACCTGGCCATTTATAGAATAGATAAGAATAGTACAATTAACTTCCATTAATCAATATACCTTCAAAGACAAGTAGCTGGTGATACAGCAACATGTAACTTAGTAAAATCTCACAGTAAAATGTTTTCTTTTAAAAAAATAAATGTAAAGTTTAACACAAGCTGGAATATCAATGCATAATCTGAACAAAACAAATTACATAAATCAAATGATAATGAGTCAAAACATAACTTCACAAGACACTGAGTTTCAAAAAATGTTATAGTCAGAAATAAAAGGCAGAGCTATGAATAAGTTGGTTTTCTACAAATATTGTAAGAAAATAATATGATTGAGGTCAAAGATGGTCATATTCCTGCTAATTGTTCTTAGCTTCCTTTTAAATTAACTCAGGAGAAACAAGACTACCAGTAAATTGGACTAGAATAATAGCTCACCACAGAAAAAAAATATAGACAAACAGTTCCTAAGGGCTCAGTCATTAATTTGACCTCATAGCTAAAATTATATATAATTTCAAAGGGGTCTATATTAGACACAGCTATATAAAAGTTGCTACATACCATACAATGATCTTCAGGCTTTATAGTATCAGAGGAGGATTTATTTATTCTTACACAACTTTATTTTTGTGCTGTAACAAATACAAAAGACACAATTATCATAAAACAAATAATTCATCATCAATTAATTTTGTACGCATGATTTCAAGGACCCACTTAACATTAATTCATACAAGCTATCACTATACAGTGTAACTTCACACAGGAAAGCTGTACCTCTTTAAGTCTTAATTTGATATCATACAATTGAATCATGTTTCAAGACTCTAAAAATTATTCTGCACACACCTCCCAAGAGAATATCTCATTCCCACAATTTGAATATTTATACCAAGTATGTCTTGCCTTGCAAATGGTGTTATTATGCATAACAGGATAATTCAACTATATCTGGTAATAAATTTAATTAGAATGTATCTATATTAGAAGATATGAACTTTTGACTCCAGAAAAAAAATTAAAAGCAGTAATTGACAATGATAAATGGTTGTGATACATTCAATTCATTTGCTGGTAGGAAAAAAAGCAATCATCATTAGAATGTTCCAAACAAATTGCCTGTATAGTGAGAGTTCAGATAAAGTTTACTGTAATCATAATATCTCAGGTCAGGATAGTTTTTAAATACCTTAAAATCTTCATCAGATCTTAATTAAATTATTTCTGGCAAAGATATTTGTTTCTCAATAAACTCAAATCCCCCAATTAAAAAGGTTTTTCTATGCCTCCCCACTTAACTAAAAGGGGGAACACTAAAAATTTAAAGTCCCCCGGGGGTTTTAACCCTAGGTAAACATAAAAAATCTCCATGAAAATATGATAATGTGCAAATGGTCCCCCACCATTTTTTTGATTCAGAAAATTTTTTGGGATTAGTAGTTTGTCCACATTTGGTTGTAAAATTTGTAATTAGGTTTAAAGTTACCCCAGAACAGCCAGAAACGTCTAAAGTTTAAGCCCAACGTATTTAACATGTTATTTTTTAAGTGAATATTAACAATTTTAAAATTTTTAAATAAAAACAAAAATTAAATTTAACAACTGTGATCAGTGATCACATGTGTCACCTGATGATAGCCAATTAGGCAGTTGTATTGAAATCAGACCAGTTAGTTTCCTATATGATACTGCATGTTGTAATAATCATTAAAGTGACATTATGCCCATCCACGGTATATAGTGAGTGAACAGTTGAATATCAAAATAAGTTTTCATTTTGCCATAATACCTTTTAATTTAATAATTTACTTTGAATAAACAATTAACAATGCACAGATCCAAATAAAATTTCTGTAAATATGTTTTAAAATTTAACTATAACCCTCAGTTTATAAAAAGTGTGGGGCAGTCTTTTTATATTTTAGGCAGAATTATAATTTTATCCTGAACATTTTCCAATATCAACTATTTGGTCAGACACCATTTTAACTGTCAATCTTGTAAAATATAGTCAATTCAGCTCAACTTGACTATGAACATATGAGCATAATGTCACATTAACAGGCCAATATATTTTTTTATTCAAGGGCCATAACTCAGCCTAACAAGGGCAACATCGTCACAGAAGCT